ATCATTGGGACATGCATCAATTTTCTCATAATCAAGTCCGAGATTCTTAACCATAGACTTGGTTTTATTGTAAAACGGAGGAATGTTCAACTCGGGCATCGCCTCTTTTAACAACTCTAAAAGAGAAGTGAATGATTAATTGCTCCATCCATGTAGACACTTCAACAAATATAAATGAAGTGTGAATGATAATTTAGAAAATCTTGTACAACCAGGATATAATTCTTGGCTTGCCTCTTCAACTAAGTTATAGAATTTCTTGGCATCTTCATTTGGACCATCATAAACTCCTTCAGTCTGTGCAACATCTCTAAATTGATCATTCAACAACCCATCAATATCATCACGCGAGTAATCCATATCATCGTCAACATTCAAATTGATATCCCATTCCCCTGATTGATCCATCTAGTATAACCTTTAACAAATCCATAGCATATTAGATGATCATACACTACATTCCTTCGAGTCCAACGAATATTACAACATTTTGAACACTGAATTTCCTCTCCTTGAGGATCTCCATAAGAGTAAGCAAAATCTAGAAATGATTCAACGCCAGCAATATACTCTTTGCCATACCTTGCTAAATTCATCCAATCCTTGGATGGGATATTTGAATTCCTAGAAGAAGATATTAATATTTAATCTTTGAGTAGCAATCACTAAATCATTATCTACTTCACAAATAAGTTTTAAAAGTCACGAGTAAGTTATCACAATCATGTGTTATGAGATAATAAAAGTTTCTTACCTATTCATGGCACTTGTGCTATGCCAAATCAAACCTTGAATCCTCCACAAATGTTTATGAATGTTGATTATACTTTAAAGGAAAATTAAGTAATATTAATAGGATAGACACAATTAAGAAAGAAAGTAACTAAATGGAATTCAAATATTAAAAGTTAAAGTTTTGTGAGTGAATTTAAATACTCATCACCAAATTTGTTTGCACGGTTTACACAGGAAACTGAACAGTTATACACCTTAGTGAAATGAATGCTCCAAACTTGTTTCAATTTCCCTAATTTTGGACAGTGGAATGAAACTATGGTGAGGCAGCATGCCCTACCATTGATTGTTTCAATTATTTTAAATACTAAGATTAATAACCAGGAAGGAGTTTTAGATGAAGCAAATTGGAAAAATAATGAAATTGGCAGGTTCTCTTATTCTTCAGCTTGGCAGATCATCAGGCAAAATGGTATCAACGATACTCAAAAATCGAAATCAAAATTCATGATCTGAAGCAAATTGCAGAACCTAATCATTTTTCCACACACTAACCGCCAATATACTAACCTATTAGCTATTTATAAGCCCATAAAAAACCTGATCGTGTGTGAGAGTGAGATTAAACATGAAAAAAAAAATAATCAAAGTTCACAATTAAAAACAACAAATTTAAGATTATTTTTTTACAAAATCACAGATAAAAATCACACCTTGATGAAGAGAAGTGTTGATTAAGCTTTGAAGCCTTGATAAAGCAACCATGGTTGCAAGAGTTTGAAGCAATTGATGATTCTATGCATGGATAAAGAGTGGGAAAGATGGATCTGAAACAGAGGACATAGAGACTCGATTACTGTTGTTTTGCATATGAAATGGTATACGTGGCTTGCTTCAAGTTAATGACAGTACACGTGTTAAGATAGTAATTCAATACCCAGCTAAATAAGTCCAAGTCTGTGTACAACTAACTAAATTCCTAACACTAACATTGCAGCTATTGCATTAAACAAAAAAAACATATATGCAAACGGATCGACATAACTACTGACTTAAAAAATATAGTTTCAATAACATGAATGAACAACAGCAAAATGAGAGTACCTTCAAAGTCTCACAAATAAGCTGGAAATCTTCAAGTGCAATCACATATATAGAGAGACAAATTGTATAGCTGACTTTCTATCTAAATGAAGTCATAACTTTCAACATTCTACAACAATTTAACACCTACCAGCAGCTGCCCAGATTGGCCAAAAGAAGCTATGTTTTAGAAAAATTGGGTTTTACTAATTTCAGGAGGAAAAAGTTGAATATGCTTTCAACAAATGCAGAAACGTACTTATCAACTTCCCACAAACACCCAGACACAAGAATATCAAAACCCTAAAGCTAAAATTTTGACTTTCAAAGATAAAATTTCTTACCTGATAAACCCTATTCCAACAAAATCCTTTCAATGTGATGAAGCATTTTAGTGAGGCGTGTTCATCTTTGAAGAATCTTCAACCAGAAATCGTGAAATCGTATTCTTCAGCTAGTAGTTCTTCAGCTCTTCAACGTGAAATAGTACCTGTTCTTCAGTTCTGTGAGAAAGTTGACAAAAATTTGTTCTTCAATTCTTTGAGAAAATCGAGATCTTCAACGATTTAGGGGAAAAGAAAGACTTACCTCATAAACCTTCAGCAATAAGGGGGAAAATCATGTTCTTCGTGTGAAGTTCTGTGGAAAGCCAGAAAAGTTATTCATTAAGCTAACGTCTGAAGAGATTTTCTTTTTGGGGGAAAACGTAAATGTTAAAGTTTTATGAAATGTCTTTTTAGCTCAATAAGAATGGGAGGGAGAATTAAAAATGTTGGAGGGAATATAATATTTTAGTGAAAACTTTAAGGCAACATTTATAATGTGTTGTTTTTACAATTATAAAAATAGGACACTTTAAAAGTGTGGCCATATATGTTAATAGTTGTTGCCAATTATATCATACTTTAACAACGCTTATAAAATGTAGCTTACACAATTAAAGAGTACACTTTGCAAGTGTTGCCAATATTATCATAGAAAAAAGTTGTTAAAAATTTTGGGCTACGCTTTAAAAGTGTCCCCAAAAGTATTTTAGGCAACACTTTAAAAGCGTTGTCCAGAATTAGTGTGGCCCTAGGCCTAAAATGTTGTAGTGAATGTATACAATTGTGGTGTACTATGTTTATGAGGTGTTTTTCAAGACTAAAGTCTAATAAAATTTTGGCTAATGCTGATATCCAAATTGTATAAACTTGATATCCAACTTGAAAACTTTTGATACATTAAAAATAAAATTGTATGAAGTTGGTATCCAACTGGAACAAACTACTAAAAGAAATAAATTTGAAATGTAAAACAGTATTGTATTGTTGCAAAAAACTGTAGCAAAAATAAATATATATCATTCAAAAATTAAAAAAACATGACAATGAATATACATATAGATGCATAGATCATGCCAGTTCATGCCAACATTAAACAAATTTCATACCAGAATCATATGCATAAAGAAACAGTTTTTTTTTTTAAAATCCTACTAAATTGAATAATTGCTAAAATAATCTAACAACTTTTTTGCCTTTTTTTGAAATTAAATTTTTCGAATTTCATTGTTGCTCTTCTTTTAGAGGGTTTTGATGACTGACACCATTCGACATTTGTTGATTTTTTATTTTTATTTTTAAAAAAAATCTCGCTTACAAAATCTGAGTATGAATTTGAAGGGGTTCTACCATTTTCCTTTTTCTCTTTTGTTTCTTTTGATTTGGAGGACTTACAATTTTCTTTGCTTCTCTTTTCTTCTTCTTTTCTGGAATTTGTTTCTTCTTTTGTGGGGTAACAACCTTTCTCGCCGAACTTGCATTCTTGTTGGTCGGCGGCGATTGAGTCAATAAGTTAAAAGTTGAAGCCTCGATTTCAATAGTAGAACTCATTTCGACTAATTTAGGGCTCTTTCTAGGAGTATGCTCAAGTTTCTTCTACAGTGTTTTCACAAATTTGGCTTTTCTTTTGATTGTAGAATAAAGATGTCAGATTATGGTGATAGAGAGATGATTTACGATTTCTAAGGAAGATGAATGAAGAGGTGAGAGAGAAATGTTTAATTTTTGAATGTGGGGGTGGTGGGGTGTTGTTATGGTGTGTGAGAAAAATAGAAGAAACGTGGTGGTTGGGAGGTGGGGTTTGAAGTCAGACAGTAAAACAAATACAAGAATCAAGGTAAATCTCTAAAAATGGGTAACATATAATTATGATTGATTCTTTAATTATATCACACCTAATAATTAAAATATAATTATAAAATATTAATTATTTAATAAAGTGGAATTAAAATAAGAACTGATCTGTTATAACCCGCAATTAAAATGTTATAAGCAATAATATTTTAAAAGTAGATTTAAAACCTGTAATAATACCCCTTAAATATATATGTGGGGTGATTTTTTCAAATAAAAATATAGATAATACGAAAAATTGCATGGAATCACATGAAGTAAAAGTTGAGGAAATGAAATATAAATAATAATTTTTTTTTTAGAAAACATTAGAATAATAAAAATAAAAAAAAGAATTTAAAAGAAACGTGGTGGTTGGGAGGTGGGGTTTGAAGTGTGACAGTAAAACAAATACAAAAATCAAGGTAAATTCCTAAAAATGGGTAACAAATAATCATGATTGATTCTTTAATTATATACTAATTAAAATATAATTATAAAATATTAATTATTTAATAAAATGGAATTAAAATAAAAACTGATCTGTTATAACCCGCAATTAAAATGTTATAAGCAATAATATTTTAAAACTAGATTTAAAACCCATAATATTATTCCTTAAATATATGTGTGGGGTAATTTTTCCAAATAAAAATATAGATAATACGAAAAATTGCATGGAATCACATGAAGTAAAAGTTGAGGAAATAAAATATAAATAATAATTTTTTTAGAAAATATTAGAGTAATAAAAATAAAAAAGAATTTAAAATAATAAAATAAAAAATAAATAAAAACGAAAAAAATAAAAACAAAACTAAAAGAAAGAAATTAAAAATAGTCAGTTTGTAATTACATTTTTATAACTACAACAATTCATTCACAGCCTTCCATGTGAATTGAAGAGTATAATTATCACGTGCCAATTATACTCAATTATCTACGGACTAAATAATTACGTGACCAAACCAAAATATAATTACACCAAATCGAATTAGCATGGTCTAACTCAATTTTTTTTAAAAGCATTGACAACTTTGTTCCAAAGAAATCGTTGTTTCTTGTGACCCCCTTAACATTAGTCTCCCATCTAACTAGTAATCTATTGTACCTCCCCGGCAAGAGAGGGGAACCCATCTCCCACTCGTCTGAAACACGCACCACCATTACAGCTCTTTGCTTCACTTGTAAGTTTGCGTTACATATGCTTATGATACCATTAATTTGTCTACTTATCCGCAGATCTGTAATTTGATTTTGTGTTTATTCGATTTGGGTTGTTGGAGTTTGACAGTTTGTGTTTTTGTAATAGGCAAGTATGAGTATCAATATGTATACGGGGTTCACCAGGCTTTGCAAGGGTCTTGCGGTTGTCCTTGTAGGCGGTCACATTGTTGTTCAGATTCTTCCTTCTGCTCTTTCTTATCTTGCTCTCATACCTGCCAAGTACTCTTTCTATCTCCTCTTTAATTACTATTTGATTTTGCTTGTCGAATCACCGGATTTTTAGAATTGGAATTACCTACTTTATGATGATAATGTAGTTTCTCTATCTGTAAATGCTTCAATTGAATCTCAACTTCATGGATCATGTGCTGATCTCTTTAATACATGTATCCTTTTCTGAAATGGTCCTCAAATAGAAGAAAAAAAAGTTTCTTTTGAAATGCTAGATAAAGACTTGCTTGGCGAGCTATGAAATTACTGAATATCTCTTTAAGAAATGGAAAATTTTGGACTGAGTATAGGGTGCTCCTTGTGGTTCTTGACGTGAATGTTCCAATTTCAAGGCAGCTTTCTTGTGCATGAGTTCCTGAGTATAGGCTGAATTCATGGACTACAGACGCAGATCTAGGATTTAAATTTTATGGGTTCAATCTTTAAGGTTCTTAGTATTGAACTCTTTGTATTTGTAAAACTATTGGTTCAAACTTACTATTATTGCCATTTTAGTGAACATAAATTTATATTTCGCGATAAAAGATTGGGTACAAATGAAGCATTTTGCCTGTCACTGATGTATGTCCCCTCTAACTTGCCTCATTTTTCCATTTAGACACTTGAGTGGTGGAACTCTAGTATCTGTTAAGGAAGATTCGACTATGTGTTAGATTTCAAGCTGAAAGCCTTAAAAGAGAATCTTAAAGTTTGGAGCAAGACACTTCAAGGCAATTTAGGGCTACAAAAGCAGAGTATCCTTAACCAAATGGCAGCCCTAGAAGAGATTCGAGATCAAAGATGTTTAAATGATGATGAGAACTACTGAAGGCTACGCTAGAGGTAGAATTTGAGTATATTGCTACAAAAGTGGAAGTTACGTAGAGACAAAGATCCAGGGTATTATGGCTCAAAGAAGGGGATAGACATACAAAGTTCTTCCATAGATCTGCTAACAATCACAGAAGTTATAACAACATTGACTGTCTGTAGGTTAATGGGGAAAACTTAGTAGATCCAAATGACATCAAGAGAGAAATGGTCAACTTATAGCAGGAACTATACTCTGAACTGAGGAATGCAGACCTCAATTTAATTTTAGAGAAGAATTTCTTAGTAGTAAAGAAGAAAACCAAATGCTACAGTGCCAATTTGGGGAACAAGAAGTGAAAGATAGTGTGATGGCATGTGCTGATGACAAATCTCCTGGACCAGCTGGCTACACAATGGTCTTTGTCATTCAGTGTTGGAGATAGTGAAGAAAGAGGTATGGGCTGCTATACAAAATTGTGATGATCAGTGCTTTTTTGAGAAGACCTTCAATGCTACCTTTATAGCATTGATTCCTAAGAAGGTGGGAGCAAAAGAGCTTAAGGATTTCAGCCCTCTCAGATTGACAAGGTGCATCTATAAAGTCATCTCAAAACTATTGACTGAGAGGCTTAAGCGAGACATGTCTAAGCTGGTTAATCTTCAATAGATGGCTTTTATCGAGGGTAAACAGACTATGGATGCTATTCTTGTAGCAAATGAATGTGTGGACACAAGGGTCATATATGGGATTACTGAGGTTCTACGCAAAATAAACATTGAGAAGGCATACATGATCACCTCAACTGGGCCTACTTATGGAAGACTCTGGAAAAAAGGGGATTTGGCGGGAGATGGATAGAATGGATCAAAATCTGCACCAGCACAGTTAAATTATCAGTTAATGATTCTCCAATTGGTTTCTTCTTCTCTGGAAGAGGATTAAGACAAGGCGACTTTTTGTCTCCTTTCTTATTCATAATAGCCATGGAGGGTTTGAGTGACATGCTTAAAACAACTCAGTTTACCAACTGGATCAGAGTTTGAAATGAGCAGTCTGGCCAACATATGGGGGTAGATTTTTATTTTTGATGACAAGGGAAACCGCAGCCGCTACCCTCGCACCCAGGGTAAAACCCCCGCTTCTATGCAATAGCTTGCAAACTGGGGGGTAGAATTGGGGAGTTATCAACAGTCTATTTGAGTATGCCATTAGGGGCAGAAAACAAATTTAAATCTGCATGGAACTCAGTGTCGGAAAAGTGTGAAAAGAAACTAGTTAGTTTGGAAGGACAATACTTATCTCTATGGGGAAGACTGACCTTGGTCAACAGTGTTCTAGATGCCTTGCCAACATATATGATGTCTCTTTTTCCTATGCCACTTAATGTAGCCAATAAGCTTGATGAAGTTGGAAGAAACTTTTTGTGGCAGGGAATAGTCCGACAAAGAAGATCCACCTGGTTAAGTGGGACATTGTTACAAAATGCAAGAAGGAAGGTGGAATAAGTGTAAAAAATTTGAGGATTCAAAAACAAAGTCTTATGCTTAAATGGCTTTGGAGGTTCTCAACTCCAGAACAATCATTGTGGTAGGAGACTATCATATCAAAGTATGGTATGGAAGATAAGTGGATCACCAATGAAGTGAATGCACATATGGAGTCAGTTTATGGAGATCAATGAGAAACAACTGGCCTATATTGTATAATAGATCCAGCATCCAGGTAGGAGATGGGGAAAAACATCCTTCTGGGATGATGTATCGCTAGGCCAATCTTCTTTGATGCAACAGTTTCCAGATTTATACTATTTGAACCAATGGAAGGATGCAACAGTGGCGCGAAAGCTGGCCCGGCCACCACAGTCATTGAAAAAAGAAGAAGAATGCAACAGTGAAGGAGGTAAGGGATAATACAGGATGGAATATCAGCTTCAGAAGGTTATTAAACGATTGGGTGGTTGACAGGCTACTGGAGTTTCTCAAAACACTTGAATCATTTTAGGATTCAATGCCAATGAGGGCTGCAGATTCTGGTTAGCAGGTAGCAGAGGCAGATTCACATGTTAATTCAGCTTACAAGACACTTAACAAGTCTAGCTCTTGGCCTAGGAAGCACATCTGGAGAACTAAGATACCATACAAGGTGAATTGTTTTGTTTGGTTCGTAGTCAAGCAAGCTTGCTTGACAAAGGACAAGTTACTGAGAAGGGGAATGCAACTTAGATCTATCTTTCTTTTTTGTTGTGAGACTGCGGAAACAAACAACCACCTATTTCTGCATTGCAGAGTAACTACTCAACTTTGGGACATTTTTCTTACTATGATTGGTTTGAAATGGTCTATGCCTCAGTCTACTTTAGACATCTTTACAGTTGGAACAAAAAGGGAAGTAGCATAGACCAAAAAAGAAGATGGAGGCTGATCCCAGGTTGTATTTAGTGGACATCTGGAGGGAAAAGAATCTATGATGCTTTGAAGGAAAGAGCAACCCAATCCAGAAGATAAAATTAAATTGTATTTTACTTTTTCACTTTTGGTATAAACAAGAGTACATAGAAAATACTGAGACTTCAATGCAGTTGTTAGAGCTCTTTAGATCTTCTTGCTCTCTTTACATGTACTTATGGCTTAACAACACTTTTTGGTTAATACAATATGTTACCTTATCAAAAAAAAAAAGATTGTGCAAATATTTGTTCTTAATCCTAGAAATGTGACTTTGGTGGTTTTTGAAACACACTCTATTCCTTTCCAACTAGAGTCCAAAAGATGCATAGAGAAATAGTGAACCAAATCTTTTTTGAAACTGGTAACTTTAAAATAGTGAACCAAATCTGTTTCATATCATTTTGAAATTCGTGTCCTTGCCAGCACTCTAACAAACCCCTATGTTGTTAGGCATTGTCCAAGGAATACCACAATGTTTAGGAATATGTCCCAACACTGCCTGAAGCACTTGCAATGGAGAAATAGGTGTTTTATTGATTCTTGAACCAGCACTTGCAATGGAGAAATAGGTGTTTTATTGATTCTTGAACCTCACAAATAACATCTTTTAGCAAGAAATAGGGGGCATATCTTGGTTTATCAAAGGCAAAAAGCACAAAAAAGGGTAAGAGATTTGTTGGTTCTTGAAGCACAATGTACAAATGAAGTGTGGAAGGTAGCAGGTACCCCATGGAACTAATCGAGGTTTGTGCAAGTTGGCTTGGACACCATAGTTATAAAGAAATGCAGGCATTAATGAAGATAGAGACGTGCCCCTATCCAAGGAACCCTGTAGGGCCGGTTGAAGGCAGCGGCTGCAATAGTGATACGGTGGTGGCTATAGTAGGTATCATGGTGGTGGTGGAGGATGCATGGGTGGAGGAAGTGGGTATGGTGGTGGAGGAAGTGGGTGTTTAAGTGTTGTGATACTGGACATTTTGCAAGGACTGATATTCAGGGAGGCGGAGGTGGTGGCTCTATGACAGTGAAGATGGGAGCTACTCCAGTGATGGTGGTGTAGGTGGTTGTTTCCATAGTGTGGAAGAAAGTCATTTTGCGCGAGAATGTCCTAATAGTAATCGTTGAAGTTTTGGTAGAAACAAAGAGGGTAAATGTGTATTTTCACATTTGCACTTTGTTTTCTATGCACTCTCCTTTTTTCTCAGTCGTTTTGATTTTGAATTGTTTAAGGGATGAACCATTTGATGTTCTCAACTTATCATTGCATATGGTCACGTTTTCCTTTCCAAGTATGATTAGGATATGGTTCTCTGCTTTGTCATTTCCTTTTAGGAGTAGTAGTGGTTATAGGTTAGTATTTCAGCTTGAAGCTTTTCAAAATGTGCACTTTTGACATGTGTACGTACATGTTCGGAAGATTTACCAATCATCAAAAATGAAATGGCAGTGAAGGTTCAACATGTGCACCTCATAGTACTGTAGTCTTGAAGTACATTTGATCTTATTGGAGCAAGTTTGGTGAAAATTCAGGATTTCTTCTGGGAAATGGTAGGATTAAGGTTTTGGGATGCTTGGTTAGGACACTCACCTTTAAATATCAGTTTCCGGGCTGGGATCTTTTCTTCAGAAGGAACATCAATGATTGGGAGTTAGAAATGATGTGTATTTTGTGACAAATGCTTGGCAATACTATTTCAGTCATCAAAAGCCTAACTCAATGGAAGGGTCATTCTGGTGGATGTTTTTCAGTAAAATCATGCTTCTTGTTGTTGATTTCTCACAACACAAGCTTCTGCTATAGAAGAAAATTTGTTACAGCAAGGCGCCCGTAAGGTGTCTTCTTATTGTTGATTTGTGCCTAAGGAGGCTTGCGACTGACCTTCAGAAAAGAGGATTCCCACTTTGTTGCATATGTTCTCTTTGCGACATGCAATAGGAGATGTTTATCACATTTTTCTTCACTGCAAGGTTAAAGTCAAATTGTGGAGCATGATTTTTTTCTTCATCTTGGAGGTAAGCTAGACCACCAAATTCCATATTGGATTTTCTCAACTGCTGTAATAGTAAAACGTCTCAGTAAGAAGGCTTCTAGATCTGGAACACTATTCCTCATGTTATTTGGGAAACAATTTGGGCAGAAAGAAATAGTAGAATTTTCAATGGCACAATAGAAATATTCTTAACCATAAACATAAATCTATTTTTCTTTGTGAACCTTTGGTGAACTCTGGTCTTTGTACATCAGACGTTATTGGGGACATGCAAAATCTGTAATTATGTTATATGCTCTTAGTATTGTTGTATTATTAATAAAGATCATTGTTACTTTTCAAAAGAATGTTAGCACAAGAAAGTTGGAGGATAAAAATAACTCAGATATACTTTTTATTGCAAGTAACATAGTCACGAGAATTGTCATCAACAATTGTCATGAAGGAAGAATAAAGCTGACCCGTCTTGTAGTGTGGATATCCAAATGAACTTCAAATATACACACAGCCTACTTGAGAAAGAAGCACAAGCTTATTTCTGAAACTGACACGTACTGCAAGAACCTTTTGACTATTAATGGCTTTTCCTTGGGATATGGATCTGAAAAATTTTCCCCTGAAATCTTGAAACACTTTCCCTTTTTTGTTTTTAACTTTTCTTTTTTCCTTTTTAATCGGCCTCCTTTTTAAATATTTTATCAAACTTGTAAATTGCCTTCATTCAATAAGGTGGGGAAGGAGGGCGGACTCTTTATTACAAGTAAAAGTAGCTATTATCATATCGTGGGATAGCAAATATAACATTTCATTTTGAGGATTCATATAACCAAAGCAACTTGTTGGGGATTGCGGCATTGTTATTAATTGTTATTGTTGTAGTATATAGATTTTTCCTTTTTGGCCTCTTAAACTTCTTAATTCATGGGATTTACCTAAGTTTTATGCCAATTGCATGTTACTAATCACAAAAGAAAGAAAATGAAAAAAATGATTCCTTATGTTTGGGGACAGTTTAAGTGTCTTTTGAATATACTCCTTATAAGTTTTGGTTTATAAGTTTGTCAAAAGTAATCACTTTTAGGGTCCGTCAAATATTTAGCAAACTTTGATGGCTCTATTTTAATGGATGTGATTTTTTTTTTTTTACCCCAATGGCTTTGGTCTGTGATGGTAAGAACAAAATGCATGATGTGTAGATGAAGTGCACGGCATGTGTTCAAATCATGTCAGATAAAAACCTGGTACTTGAGTAGGGAAGGGTAGAGAGGCAGATCCATTATCCACCAAGTTTCGAACCTTGCACTACTGGCTCTGGTGGATTTTCAATTTTTTGAAAAATATCTAATCAGAAACACTAGGAAAATTCCATCATATCTCATAAATCGCAGCACCAAAAATTGCACTAGATATCGGAAATGGATGAAATACGAGAAACACTACCTCAAAAATTGTATCACACACCAAAAATAGACCAAAAACAGCAGAATCTGCACCTCCGAATGTATGTTCCCGCTAAATATTTTTTTTCACTGTTCCAGTTTAATCCAACTAGAGTTTGTTAAAAATTTACCAAGAAAAAAATGCTTACTTTTGGCAAACTTAAAGGACAAACTGCTCATTTTAGACCTAGCCCCTAACAGGAGACCATTTTTGTCATGTTGTCCTTTTACTTTTCTTATGTTAAAAAAAATTTAAAAAAAAAATAAATAAATAGAAAAATAAAATTATATATATATATATATATATATATATATTTATATATATATATATATATATAGAGAGAGAGAGAGAACAATCAGACACAGTGGTTGGGTTGTATGCATGTCAAGTCAGAGCTTGAAGTACTGCTTTATCTAGTATTTTTTTTTTTTTGAGAATTGTAACTTGCTTTATCTAGTATTTTTTGAGAGGAGATTATTTTAAAAGGACAGTATTTTGGACAGGAGATCTGGTGGTGCAGAGTAACTTTTACATATAGTCCGAAACAATTATCCCCTTTCTCATATATGCTTAGACAGAATATTGTGTGAACCTTGTTCTAATAGCGAGACTATACTCAGCAGTCCAGCCTTGATCACCTAATTATTGGGAAGGGATATTTGACGAGTTCACTGAAGGATGGTCATTTGTGTTCTGTAATCCTGTATTAGTGGAACTGTAGATTGCTCAAAACTTGTGAATCACCCTATACTACTTGGACATGATGTATACTGTTAGAATCTGTGAAAACAGTTGTATCTCTTGTCTTCAACTGTTTGTAAAGTGTGATCTTTTGTGTTTATTGCAGGACTATTCCATTTGCATGGAATCTTATAACAGCTGGTTACACTGAACAAACAGTGTATGGGGTATGCTTCTTTGGCATTAAGCATTAACTAATTTTCTTGGTTCTAGCTTACATTTCACAGCTGCCTTAAAGAGAAGAAGCCTGAGGCTCACACTTTCAATACTTTATATATATATATATATATATATATATTGAAGTGTCCAAGTGTGTGACTATCTCATCTAAAAGTTTAAGCTATTATAGGGAGTATACTTTTATTTTCTAATTATATATTCTACATTATTCTTTGTATCATTCTCCTTGACATCACCTACTATGTCCAGGCAATCATCAGCACTATCGGACTTCTTTTCCTGGGGAAGCTGCTTGAGCCCATCTGGGGTTCTAGGGAATTCTTAAAGTTCGTCTTTATTGTCAACTTTTTGACATCTGTCTTTGTTTTCATCACAGCCATATCATTGTACTACGTAACAAGACTGGAAATTTATCTGTAAGTTGCATGGACTTTATACTATTAGTGAATTACTTTGCTTGCCTGGTTACTTCCTCCTCTCGTTATTATTTTATTACTTTAGGATTAAGGAGTTAGTGACTCAGGGGTAGTTTTCCAAGGAATCAGACTTGCTTATTTTGCTTTTCGTTTTCTTATACTTATGGATTCCCTCTTTGTCTCTGCACAAGCACAATGTGGACGCTTTACTGTATTCTATCTTTAATGGAAGTATTGCATAACTCCTGATTTTATGGCTCTGCTGATCCTTATTTGTTAGCTATATGCCCATTTCCGGCTTCCAAGGAGTTCTTTCTGGTTTCTTAGTTGGCGTCAAGCAAATCATGCCCGACCAGGAGTTGTCTATTTTGAAACTGAAAGCAAAGGTACAAGCACTGGAATTACAAATTAATTTTGAAAGGCATCCCCAGACACTAATCTCTCAAATTAAATTGTGCTCTAACATCACTTGTGATTGCTGTTTTGAACTCTTTGCAGTGGTTGCCTTCCCTTGCATTGTTGTTCTCAATTGCTATAAGCTTTTTTACAGCAGATTCGGTCTCATACCTTCCAACAATAGTATTTGGGACATATTTAGGATGGATTTACCTAAGATACTGGCAGAAGAAACCAGAGACAAAACTAAAGGGTGACCCAAGTGATGAATTTTCCTTCTCTTCTTTCTTCCCTGAATTTTTGAGGTATTTTCCAATATTCCCTCTTGCTATGAACTACTTGTCTTAATTAATCTGTGTTCCCACAATGACATCTTGTTGGATGTAATGCAGATCAGTAATTGATCCAATTGCAACAATATTTGAACGGATGCTTTGTGGTAGAAGATCTGAGACTTCCAATGAGGAAAGGGGCTATACTCTAGGTGGTTCCACATTGCCTGGTTCTGATCCCATTGAAGCATCCAGGAGGAGGTATATAAATTTTTGTACTAAATCTTGCAGTGGTTACAAAATTTCCCAAAGCTGAAGTTTATCATGGTTAATATGTGCTCATATTCTAGAATATTCAGCCTTTTTCATTGGCTATATGTGTTTGAACATGTATACTCCCCCCCACCCCCACCCCCAGTATCAGAGAAGATAGACAATGTAGAAAAATTCCCTTGAAGATAAGTTATCAGTTCAATACACAATGCATTCATGCCCTGGTCATTTATGAGAATGATCTGGGTAATACGTTAATGAAGAATTCAATGATGTCTTGTCATATATTGTGGTAGTGACGTGTTTCCTTTAGGCGATAAAGCTTTAGTTAACAAAATCTTCATTTTTATTTTCTATTTCTATGTTTTTTGTTGTATGGGTCTTTCGGAAACAACCTCTATACCTCCTCGAGGTAGGGTGTCACGACCCGATTTCTCGAGTCATGATGGCACCTACTATACCCTACCAGTAGGTAAGCCAACCCGTAACCCAAAACATCAAGCAATGAGCGAAAGGGCAGAAACTAGCGAAAACAATAATCTAAACAAGAATAACAAGGCAGAAGCAACCCAAAATAAATATATACAGAAATTTCTCCCAGAACTTGGAAGTCACTAGTACAGAGCTATCTAATAAAGAGTACAAGTCCCAAAAGTGGACCACAACAGAGCGTGTCTCAAAGGCAACAAGACTAGCTAAAACAAAAGAAGGAGACAGAACAAACCCTAAAACGCCAAGTGCTCGCCCTCGTCTCCGAATCACAGCTGCAAAAGAAGGCTGGAACTAATCACCGCTGGTAACTGGTACTGGGATCTGCATCACGAAATAGATGCAGAGCGTAGCATGAGTACCAACACAACAGGTACTCAGTATGCATCATAGGCCAACTGAGCAAAAAGGTAAAAACAATAAGAAAGGATAGAATCTAGACACAGAGAGGTCAAAACGGATAAGAAAAGAAAGCACACGAGCATACCAGAAACAAACTAAGTACACTAAACTAAACTTAACTGGACCCCATATGCCCAGAAGGTACACTCCTGCACAAGCTCAAATAAAACCTGAACGAACCCACATAAGCCCAACAGGTACACGAAAAAGCTTAGTCTACTGAAAAAGAAGAAAATCGGGCTCCCAGCCCAAAGTAACTAAGATAATCCATCAGACTCCACCAGCCAGCAGTGCACTCCCAGCCCAGCTAGAAAGAGTGACCCTAGGGGGCACCCAACCAAACAGTCCACTCCCAGCCCAGCTAGAAAGAGGGACTCGTGAGTGAGGTAGATATCGCGAGTCGTCCTACCATGCAGTCAGCTCCTAGCCCAGCTAGAAAGAGCGACCCCGGGACACCCAGCTAGCAGCACACTCCCAGTCCAACTAGAAAGAGAGGCCCGGGGGCGATGGCCGATATCACCGAGTCTACCCAGTCAGCGATACGTTCCCAGCCTAGCTAGAAAGAACGACCCCGGGGGTGATGGTATCTCCAATAGGATCCAATCCAACAACAACCACCGTGAAACGCCGTCCACTCTAAGAAATCACAGAAAAGGCTCCAAGCCTATACTACCTCAATCCCACGCCTCTAGTGATGCACCAAACCTTCGAGAATGCGTCGGAACCGCAGAATGAGAGGGAGAAGATACAGAAGTGCAGCAAGTAGCGATAACACCTAATCTAAGGCTCAAACTATCAGACTCAAGTTTGCTATTCCAGTCTACAAGGAGCTAAGTCATCCGAACGACGTCGGCAGCAAGTCAAGGCTATCCAGCCCACACGGTCATAAGTCTAAGGCAATGCTAGCCTAACCTAGACTAAGGAGATCATGCTTACGGTTAAGGATGAACAAGGCATGCAATACATAGCATACAAGCATTCAATAGCATTTAGCACATAAGCATGCAACTCTATTAAACCGGTTAACATGATACTATACCCGAAATGTGGCCAATCGATCCTAACATAAGGTATCTAATCAAAGTAAGATAGTAAACTGGTACCCACCCCCAATTCACTCCAATCGACATGTTTTTACACAATTAAGCTCAATCTAAAAGAAAGAAAGTCGTAGCCTACCTTAAGGCCGATCGCGTGCTCTCCAAATCACTTTATCGGAGCTTTTCCTTTCCGAACAGTCTCGAAACGCTGCCCCACAATCAAAAATAGAGTCACAACGTTACTACGGTCGTTTAGACACCAAAATCACAACAAACGGAGACGGGTCAATTTTGAAGTCAAAACGGGAATCGTGGGACCCGCACCGAACTGTCCGAATTTGACTCCGTCAAGAGACCCTAAACAGCACCCCAAACTTGTGTTCCAAAATGGAACACAATTCGAGGCTCAAAACACAGCAAAAACCAACAAGCAAGAAACCACACTTTAATCAACTAAAAGAAACCCTACAGCAGCAGTCCAAACTCGAAATAAACGAAAATCGAAAGGTGCCCAGCACTCTTTGAACACTCTACGACGAAGTCTCGACAATTCTCAACATATGGGACTTCGAATCACTCAAAACCGAGCTAAAATGAGTGAGATATGACCAAAACAATAATACCAAAAACAAAGGCTCGAAAAAGGTACTGCAGTCAGGTTTTATCGCGAAATTACCTCGAACTATGCGCACCCAACAACTTTCGAACACTCTACAGCGAAGCCACCGAAAATACGAAGCTCCCGCACTTCAAATCGCCTAAATCGGACAAAAGATGAGAGAGTTAAGAGGGTTTAAGTTTTTGGGAAATGTTGCTGAAAATCTGCATTATATAGCAGATTTTCTGCAATTTTTCCAACAACTAAAACCTCCGACGGGGTGCTCCGATCTCATTCGGAACCCTGTGCACGCAAACGAGATATGCAATCATACCAAATTTGATATTCCGGACTCAACAGCGCAGCTGAAATTTCGATCAAAGGTCATCTCGATAAAAAGTGGGTCCCACTTCCAAAGGTCATTTTAAGTCAAAACCCACAAAAGGGCTCGGAAAGATATCGGAAACCTCGGGACACAAAAGAAGGGTCAATCTAGACCAAACTCGACATTCCGGAGCTAACCGCACTGACGGAATTCTCATCCGAGCGCGTTTACTCAAAATGTTGACCATTGTCAAACTTAGGCTTAAACTTAAAGTTAAAACGCCTAATCGCACCGACTCACACTGAAACCCTCGGGAGTCAAGTCGGCCATGCTACTAGCCTAAAATGACCCTTCCGGAGCTGATGGAATCGTCAGAATTGGATTCCGATGTCATCTTCTTGAACTTTTGATCGAAAATGATCGTTCAAGGTTCATAAGCTCCAAAACACAAAACTCACACTAAGACCAAACGAACGACCAGGTGACCAAACTGTCAATCCCAGCAAGTCATAAATGACTTGGGGTCGCTACATGAACGCTCTAAACGACACACAGAAGGCAAGACACAGAAATGACCTGGAGGGTCATTACATAGGGGTAATGTCTGCGTACACTCTACCCTCCCCAGACTCCTCTTAGTGTGATTTCACTGGGTATGTTGTTGTATGCAAGAGTTTCTAATGTTCTTTTTGATGATTGTCCATATCTAAATATTAACATCTACTTAATTTTTGACTTGTTCACTATCCTGTATGCAGTTAACCCTAGATGAGAAAACTATACTCTTGTCATTTATTTATGATTGTTGGGCTTGGATATAACCATGCTGCGGATCCATTATTGGGTGCCCAAGCTTTAGCCTATATATTATTTCTTTTCTTTGTATTTGGGCTTAGCCCACCCACTGTTTTAATTAAGTGGGTTAGTGTAGTGGGTCGGATCCTTTTGACTTGGTTGGTGTTAACACACATAACATGTATGACATGGTCAAATGAGAGTTTATTCTTTCAGTGCTCCAATCTGAAGTCACCAACCAATGAATGAGTTGTTTTGGATAGTGTATATCACATTCCATTTAAGTAGAGCTCGTATAAAAGGAATTTGTGAGAAATTAGGATTCTTTATTCCAGTCCGGATAGTTTCATATTTGTTATGATTCTTTTCGTCTTGCATGGTGATATTGTATATTTTGAGTTATAAATTGCAGGGAAAGAGGTGCGAGAGCACTTGAAGAAAGATTGGCAGCTGAGCTTTTGGGTGCTGGAAAGAAGGGTGAAGAATCAGAAAGAGATGTGAATGATAATGTGTAGAAGTTGGTCTATAATATGTAACGCGTTTTCTTGTCCGATAGAAACTAGAAGATTGTGCACATTTTTGGCAGTGTACTCTTTTGGATTCTCTTGTTTAATGTACATTTTTCTCTTTTCCAATATGTTGCCATTTTTGTTCAAATCTCCAGATCTGAACTAAGAACACAAGACAGAAAATGAAGTTCTCTGCTGTATGGAAGAATGAAGAATGTATCTTTACCATAAGCTATATAAAGGAAAAAACTTACTAAAATTGATCCCTTTTACATTACATTAAACTATTATAAATTCACAAGGCTTGAACTCTTCCGATCCATTTTTCTATTATAGATGAAGCAGGCTCTCATACGCAGAGTTGAGTTCGAAGGACCCATTTGGCTCCAAAAATACTTGGAAAAAATTTGGGGAAAAATTTGAGAAGTAGTTTTTAGTCATATATTTGCCAAGTATCTCAAGTTTTCAAATGCTAGAAAAAAATTAGTATTTGGGCCAAGTTCTAATATTTGGGAATTTAAAAATTACCCAAAACTTTTATATTTTATAAAAAATACTCATTATTTATTAGTTCCAACTTCCAACTAATATTTTTTACTATCTCCTCCGGAAAAATTTGAGTTCTAATTTAAGTGATAAAATTGAGAAAAAAGAACAATTTGTGTTTAATGAGTTATAATTATAACTGCATCAGTGACAACGTATCCAAGATTTTGAGATGATGGGTGCATTATTACGAAAAGGTGAATCTAAGATATACATTTGATTGGTTTAACATTTAAGTTCTTATCACTAAAAATAATTAAAATTTTAAAATTATAGGTCCAAAGTTATTTTTACCTATCCAAACCACTTAGAGAGGCATACATTACTCAATTTTAAGAAGGAAAATAAAACAAGATAAATAAAACATTCAAATTTCGAACCGCACTTAGAGAGGTGCACCCAATCATAATCGCACAATATAATACTTCAAGTGTGGGTTCACATATCTATATTTAAATATTTTTAAAAAATATAACACTGATATGAATAATTTCAGGAGGGGAGCATGGGTTCACGTGAACCCGATGACCCCCTCTTGGATACGCCTCTGAGTGACAAGTTTGAATATGAGATTAATATATTGTCTTGCCTATATTATTATTTTGTTATTGTTGATTGTTAGCAATTATATTCATTATAAAATGATAATATAAATTTATGAGTATTTTAAATAATTTTTAGAACTTGTGGGTATAAATCATATTTTTTGAAATAGTCTAATATTTTTGAGAAAATTTGGGGCCAAGCACATAGTGAAACTTCACCCAAATATGATTTACCAAGAATATTTGAGAACTTGGGGCCAAACACTAGCTTATTATCTTGCATCATTATTATTTGATTAACAAGATTTCACAAGCCTTCCGTCAAAGTTGAGTCACTGCAAGAGTAGCTCATCTCACGTTTTAGGAACTAAACTAATGAGGAATAACATGTCGACGGACCTAAGGATTCTCCTACGGTTCCCTCTCGAGCAAGAGTTGGGGATGCTTGATGCTCTTCCTTCTTTTGATATTATTGAATTATTTCAATTCGAATGCCTTTTATCAAATAAAAGGATATGGATTATCTAAACTATGCTCATTAAGCCTTACGAAATGAAAGAAACATTATCAGTCTAGCATATACATACTTATTATATTAGTGTGACAGTGTCAACTGATGTTCTGAAGTGATTCTACTATAACTTTTTACTTTTTCCTTTTAATTTGTTTGTTTGACTCTGCACAAAATTTAAGAGAATAGAAGATTTTTAAATTTTGTCATCTTAAACTAATAAAGATGTTTGTAGTATATAAAAATGTCTTGAAATTTTTTGGTCTTAAATACTTATATAAGATGTTGTGGTTAAAAGGTTACTCCCTCTAGTACATATTTAGTGAATTGTTGAGATTTTTTTCATAATTTAAAATAAGTGATTGCTCATAATTCAAGAGAATTCTTGAGATTCTTTTTTTCATGTTTACCATTCATTTAATGAGGTTCTTAACAATTCTATATTTTCTAGGAGATTAGTTTGAAAATAATCAAATGGTAATAGAGAGAAAGTAATCTATAATTTATTTTATTAAATATTTTTTGAGGGGTATGCCATATTCCAATTGTTCACTTAATATAGACTAAAGGGAGTAATAAATATAGAAAATGACATTCTTAATGCCTATTATGCAATTTGGATTTAAGTTGTACTTTTTGTTCATAAACATAAAAATCTTCATAAGTTGTGAAAATCATCAAAATCGTCTTTATACAATCTTATCAAATAAGCTTTCCATAACAAAAGTATAATACATTGCCACAAAGCTTTTCTTAAAAAAAACATTTCTATTGATCAAAAATTAATTCAAAAGTAAAATTGAACATGAGTTGTAGTGTTCTACTCTTGTTGAAGTAATAATAAATTTGATTAATGAGAGTAATGATTATATCCGATATAAATAATTTAAAGGTTGGTAAGAGTAAGAATATCACCAATAAATTTTGTTTACATATGAAATAAATGATTGGTAGATATAAAATGGTGAACTGTTTTTTGTTTTTACAAAATATAAACTTGTGGATCAATTTTTAGTATTTGAAAAATGTAAAATCATGAGATGAAATTCTCAAATCAAAATTTTTGGACTTCATCTCATGATTTGAAATTATGAGATAAACTTTCCTATCCAAAACCTGATTTCATCTCATAATTTTAAATCACAAAATAAAATTGCATGTTCAAACGCCTACTTAAATAGACAAAAAGAAAAGTAAAATAAAAAATAAAAATTGAAATGTATGAAAAGTTAATTTTACTTACTAATATCATTACATTCATGGAAAAGGTTATGGTTCAAAGACAAATTTCTAAACTTTACTAAACTTCTAAGCTATATAATTCATAGGCAAGTCCTACCATAGTCTAAGGACATGAGATAGTTGACACTAGCTCCTTGTGAACTTTTAATGAATTCTGTCTTTGACTTCAAGAATTCTACCAATCCTGGCAACCAAATAGCATCACGTACATGCTTCAAGGTTAGACTATGCATCAAATTTTGCCCCATACATGAAATCTCAACCTGATAAAAAAAAAAAAACAAAATTATATTATTGCTTCACAAAAGTATATCAAGTGTTTTATTTCTTTGTAATTAACGATGCTATTTTACATGGGAATTGACTATTTTAAGTGCGTTTGGATGTGTGCGTACGTATGTGAAAGCATATGATTGATTTTTATCTAATTATATTTAATAAAATTTAATTTTAGCATAAGAACATTGAGTTGTTAAAAGTGTCATATAATTAAGGAACATGATCTTTTATGCTATAACGATCAATATAACTGTCGTTATTGAGGTTTTTTAGCGACAAACATGAACATTAACGAAAGAAATATTTGGTTGCTAAAGGAAGGTTTAATGACCGGATTCTCAATTCGATCGATAACTTTTGGGGGTCGTTTAGTAGAGTATATAAGAATAAATGTAAATTATAGTGTATTAATAATGTTTGTATTAGTTATGCTTGCATCAGTTAATGCTGAGATTTTTCTTATGTAGCTTTTGGTGTGGTTATTAAAAACAACATGCATTGCATAATTATTTTTAAAAAATATTTAGTTGCTTATAAAAGTACTCTCCACAAATATGGTGGGTGGATGTGAAAAAGGTTTTGAGGAACAATTGTGTCTTTAACCAATGCTAATGCATGTATTAGTACCCATTGCATTACTAATGCATAAAAATTATTGGTATTGGTAATGCATACATCAATACACAATAGAGTGTATTAGTAATGCAAGCATTTGTTTTACATAAGGTAAAAAAGTGTACCTAACAAAGTATTAATGATACAAAAAATTAATGCATACATTATTTTCTTCAATACACTCTGTCAAGCGACATCTTAACAGGGCTTATAGTGATCGATAATGATCAAGTTTCTTTGATCGTGTCTAACTTAGAGGGAGCAAATTTGTACTTATAATCAGAGGTACCTACATGATGAGGTGGGGTTATGTGCACCCATTAAGTTCCAAAGAAGATTCTATGTATATATGCCTTAAAATGTGAACATATATTTTTTAGGCATCCTAATTCTGAAAAGCAAGTTGGGTGCAAGGATCAAGATCATTGCTTAGATATATCCATCAGAGATATTACTTGTTGGATATTTAATATCACAGACACAATCGTTTGCTCAAAACTTGAACTTTAGTATTGAAAGGTAAATACCCGTCTCAATTTTACAATTCTTGTACATAATTTTTCGTACATTCACACTTCAATAACTATCTCTTATTTCTCACTCACATGTTGGGACTTACCCTCTTTAATTCTCTCTTACTTAAATGGCCACTTTTTGCGGGTGATGATGAAAGAATCTAGCTAAGGATATTTACTATAGTATATTCTAGAATGTTTATTTCTAGATTTTTTTATGTATTTTTTTTTATCTAGAAATACTTCATTTCTCTACAACTCTTGAATATTCTAAATACTTCTTTAAAGTGTCATATATATTAATTTAGTTATCTTTATTATGTTTAATCTTGTTCAGATGATAAACAACAACAAGAGTCAAATGCCTTTCCTTTTTTTTGAAGGATAAAAGTTGCTGTAATTAATAATCAGATATAATTGTACTCTTCCTTCCTGATTTATAACATCGTCCCAGACGATTTGGGAACTCTTATAACAAAAAAATTATCAAGGCTGTATATACTAATTATTTTGGGATAATATTTTTTTGGATATATATATATTCCCTTTATTTCAGTTTATATGACTCGTTTTGTTTTTTTAATTAGTTTTAAAAAATAATGACACATTTTTATATTAAATAATAATTTAACTTTAACATATTAATTTTATCCTTAATGAAATAATTTATAGTCACACAAATATCTATTTTAAACTATAAATTTTAAAAGTCATTCTTTCTAACTTCAACTCTGTGTTAAGTAAAAGGTTGGAGTAATTATTTTGAGACAAAGTAAGTGTTCTTTTCCGATGTAGTTGATCCTGTTACCAACTATTACTGAAATTTGATCAGATGCTCAATTGTGGATCCCCTTATTATAGATTTTAGGCTAATGTTAAGAAAATAATTAATCGATGCGCTAAAAATGAGGTTTTCTTATGAAACATAGGTTAAATATCATTTTGGTCAAATTCTGACCAAAAGAATTTTTCCATTTATTACTACATTTCACTTTGAACTCTGTTTAAGTAATTAGTTTTCCAACATCAAATTATCAACCAAAATTTTGAGCAAACACTAATAAATAATTGATGTCCAAACAGATTAATTAGACTCAAAAGATAATCCAATATTTATATATTTTTCTTTATCTCTATTAATAAAAATATAATCAACCCTTCAAAGGGTGCACTACAAATATATGTAGGGCCTTAAGGATGCATGATATATAGTGTAAAAGAAGTTACTACTCTACTAAGTGCTGGTTAAGGTTCTTAATTGTTGTAATATATGCCAACAATGAATAATTATTGGAAATGTAATTATTTGTTGGTATCTTTTACCCAAAATGAAGTAACGTAAATCTATGATACGAAGGAAAGTCAGAAATGACCCAACAGACAATGATTATTACTGATCTACTACTAATCATTATTCATGTTTATCCATGCAACTCTCAATATAATAATTACTCCCTCCATCCCTTTTCATATAAATTAAGTTTGATTTCACACGGAGTGTAGCTAAGATCGAAAGAAAGATTTTTTAAATTTATATCTAAAATAATAAATATTTATATAGTTATAAATTCTTTCATTAAGGATAAAAAAATATATTTTAAAGTTAAATTATTACTCCTTCTGTTTCAATTTATATAATTTAGTTTGACTTGACACGGAGTTTAAGAAAGAAAAAAATATTTTAAAACTTGTTTCTAAAATAGATTATAAATATTTGTGAGACTATAAATCATATAAATTGTTACTAAATGTAGAAATGTGTCATTCTTCTTTGAGGTGTCAACGGTTGTAGTAAAAACTATCAGGATTGTTATTAAGGAAGGTCAATAGTTGTAGTAAAAATAAAATAAAATTATGGCTAGTAGGACTAGAACACACAACCTCAAAGAATTTTCAGAACACCTTAACTATTAGACTAAACTTGTAACTTCTGTCAACAAGTGTTGATACTTGTATATATATTTATTAAATCAAAATTTAATCTCTATATACAATGTAATACGACGAAGGGATGTTGCTTAACGCCCCTTGAGTAAGGGTGGATCCGCCCTTGCTCTTTGAGATTGACTAAAAAGAATCATATAAATTGAAGTAAAAGTGTATTAAATATAAAAATGTATCATTTATTTTTAAACTAATTAAAAAGGAACGCAAGTCATATACATCGCAATGACAGAGAAGACACTAACCTCAGCTTGGTTGGAGAGACCAAGCTTTGTAACCAGGTAGGTTTTAAGCATGAAGATTGTCACCTTCTCGTCTCTTTTCACATCACACCATATATAAGAAAAAAAGAAAAGTAAGTGACCCTTAATTTCTTTCAACAACACCATCATTAATAACGTGAAAATACCATGTGATGCAGACGTTTGACAACATCTTTATCTTTTCTATACATGAATATGGATCCATCACCAATATAATCACACAAATTGTTTTTTTAGTCAAACTAGCTTTTACATATGTATTACTCCTATAAATTGATCTAGGGCCTAGTTGCATCACAAGGATTATATTGTAACGAAATGATTGTTTACATACTCAATTATGGTGTGAATCAATATATATCAATGATGCACTAAGTTACATTACTATAGTCTATGGGTTCTAAATTGTACTCCCTCCGTCCCTATTTACTTGTCCATATTTCCTTTTTTAGTTGTTCCTATTTAGTTGTCCATTTTGACAAATCAAGAAAGGACAACAAATTTTTTCCTATTATACCCTTATTTACACTTCTTGAAAATTGTAAAAGTGTATGTTGTTTCCCTCCAATTTATTTCACTTGAATTCAAATAAGTGATTGTAATTTTGAAGTGAAAAGTTGTCATAAGGGTAATATTGTAACTTCACTGTGCTAATCATTGTTGCCTTAATCTGTGTGTCATTTCCAAAGTGGACAACTAAAAAGGGACGAAGGGAGTAATATTTTGAAACTTTCCTAGTATTAATATAAATTCACCTAATTTATCCACATATTAAGTCATACTAAGTGAGGATTATATGATCCTCACATAAAAAAAATTGATCCTTCCATAGTTTTTAGGGGTTGAACAATTAAAAAAAAAGTTAATTTCATAGGGATAGTAAAATTTCTGCACAATTTAATTGTGTAACTGACAATTTTATTATAGGTCAAGGATTTTTATACCTTATTCACATTGATTCAAGATTTTTAAAGTTTGTTTTTTGTTACTGCAGTAATTTTTAGTAAAATAAGTTGTCTATTTAGATAAATTTGAAATTTAGTTAGATTGTTTTAGTTATTGAGATATTTTAGGATTTTCTGAATTTTAAATTATTTTATGTTGGCTATTTAAAGCCTCTAAATATTAATAAAATTATTGAAAATTATTGCAAACCATTTCAATCTATTGAGAGATATTCAACCAATACTTTTTTCTGCCCTACTTTAAAAAAAAAACCCAGCAAAGATTAATAGCAAAACCCACAATCTTTCGTGTTTGTTTTCCAAAGAATAATAATGAAATTAAACTCACATAAAGTTATTTAGTACTCTAATAGGAGTAGTTGATTATTGAAACGGTTTTATATTTACCTGTGTATATGTAAAAACAATACTATAAATTATAATTTTTTACATAAAAATAAATTGTAAAATATCAGTCAAATTTTTTATCGTTTGATTCTAAAAAAAGCTCAAAAACCATGACAATTAAAAAGGAAACTTAAAGTACAAGATACTATGTATTTGCAGTATGTGTTAGGAAAAACGTTTTAAATGTGCGCTGGTTAATTACTTATGTGACATTAAGTATACTAAATGTGTGACAATATATTTACCATGGCTTATGAATACTTATTCACACAATTTTATTTTAATGGATCCAATTTATGTGTGTGTTATGCAGGTATCAGAACCATGTAGGGAGAATTTAGCTTACTTGACTCTTATAAACGCTTTTGGAAGCTGAGGTAGAACATCTCCTTTGCTGTGAATAACAAACAATGAAAATGTTAAAAGAAGTATTAATGGTCGAAGAAAAATGTAAATTTGTGGAAAGAGTTAAAGTGGTTAATTACCGGTTAACTGAAGAACGTAAAGAGAACCAAATTCCTGGTGGGGAATAATGTGGAATTGAGGTATTAGTGCATAAAACAAGTGAAGACGAAGACGAAGACCCCTGTTGGTTATTTCTAACCACCATTTTCATATCACCATCATCATCACCCGATCCTAATCCTAACCCTAACCCTAACCCTAACCTTAGCTCTAGTTCCTCCTGACCTTGTTGCTTTTTTAATACATCAAAATGACCTGATCTTCTTTCAATAGCTGACTCCATACCTAATGCTTGCAAGTATATATACTATTATTACAACATATATAAAAGTACATTATTGACTTTTATATATTTGCCTAACTAAGCTTCAATGGAAATAATAGGATTTATGGGAGGAAAAAGTTATCTCCTTATCACCACCACCAGCAACTCTATTTAAAAAGGAAACCTACTTTTCTTTCTCAAACAACCCATGACAATAAGTAGTACTCTTCACTCAATTTATATGTCACATGCATTTATCTTTTTAATTAATCAATTGTTGAGAAAAAACACTTTCTTTTTCATATTTTAAATATCGTTTTAGTTCGTTTCATACTCATAAAAAAAACAATAACTATTAACGATATAGTTTGAAACAATGATCAACTTTAGTCTTGTATTCATAAAAGGACAATTAAAAATGGAATGGATAAAAAATATCTCTCCTCTAATTTGACATTTAATTTCAAAATTTGACATGTCTGAGGTATAACAATCACAAAATAGAAAAAAACTTCTTGTTTTTTTTTTTTTTAAAAAATAATTAACTTAGCGCCCAATCAAATTAATAAATAAAAATATTGATGAGAAGGGAGTATATATTTTCTTCTTATTATTATTATTTTTAGGAGTCATTTGGTGTGAAGTATAAGGTATGATAATTTTAGGGATAAAATATAGGATTATTTTATCATGTGTTTGGTTGGATCCAGGTATTAGGCAGTTGAAATTATATATGCTACTTAGTGCCCATTTGAATTAACTTATTTTTAGGTGTTTTTTGAATTTTAAGCACTCTTTTAATTTTGTTTTGTGTTTGGAAAGGTTATAAAGTGTTTTTAAGCATTCATTTTTAGGCAAAACAAGTTTTAAAATAAGTCAAGTCAAAATTAATGTATCATCTACTACTGATTTTTAACTTTTGACTTGTAAGTTATTTTTTATAATCTCATCCAAACAAGCCCTTACATTATAGTGATGTGATAAATTATCTCATTTATATGATGAAATAACTTATCTCAAGATAACTTATATCAAGATAATTAATTTTAAACTAACTTTTTTCCAACCAAGAGGATCATTAGGACATCTCTGTATTGTATATTCCATTTAGTCCGTATTAAATAAATTATTGCGACTTTTTAAATAGCTTAAAATTAGTGAATTTTTTAAAATTCAAGAAAATTGTTGAATCTTTTTCCTAATACTTATCATTCTTTTTAATAAGGTTCTTAACTATTTTTACATTTTATAAAAGAATAGTTTAGAAATAATAAAAATGTAGTAATAGTGAAATGTCAAATTTTATTTTATGTCTTTAAATATTTTTCTTAAAAGGTATCCCAATTCTCAACACTTCACTTAGAATCTGTTTGGAAAGCCATCAGGTAATTAGAATTGGTATAATTATTAGACTAGTAATTTACCAGTCTAGTAATTACACTGACTTGTTTGTTTGCTACATTATAATTATAAATGTATTGTTTGGATGCACAATTACAATTATAAGATTGTATTAAATTTTAAAAATAAAAGTTAATTATTTAAAATTTGTATTAGACAAATAAGAAACTTTATAAATTATATTAAATTAAATATTTAAGATATATATTGTCTTTTGAAATATATTAATTAATTAACATATGCTCTTAACTAATATTATGAAAAAATAATTGATTTATATTTTTCAAATTAGTATATTTCAATTGAATTAATCATAAAAACTAAAAGTACAAGATTTCTATGAACATAATGAAATGCATGTTTGAAAAAAAATTTAATATTATAAATAAAATGTCATATAGATTATTAAAATATTTGACAAAAAGATAATCGATCAAATCTAACTAAAAATAAATGACTTTGCAATGTGAAGTCTCAAGTCAGTACTACTAAAACAAATGAAACTAAAAATATAACATAAGTTCTAAATTCAATACAAATTAGTCTTATGTCAAATTACAACATAACATACATAAATATGATTTATTTTTTATTTTTAAAAAGGAAAAACATAAGCATATAACCTTAATCAACAATAAATTCTACTTGAATTTAAAAATTAGAATACTATCAAAACTATGCCAATAAAAAAAGAAGCATGACATAAAAGTAGATAATACAAAAAATTACATGGAATCACATGAAGTAAATGTTGAGAATGAGAAAGTAATGAAAAATAAAAAATAATAAAAATAAAATTTTAGAATAATAAAAATAAAAATAATAATTTAAAATAATAAAAATAAAAAATAAATTAAAACGAAAAAAAATAAAAATAAAAATGGTAATTATGAATAATTCACAACCCCTCCTTAAATGAAGAGTGTAATTTCCCTCTTTCAATTATATCAAATTTTCTTGTGACCAAATAATTATCTGACCAACTAAACTATATAATTATTCAATTACAGAATAGCTTTTCAAATGGAACCTTAATATGGATTAAAGAAAGTATTATATAGTTTTATTATTTTGCTCTTTACCGAGGCATAATGGTCCTCCTGTCTATTCCTTTTTCTGAACTTGGCTTTCTTGTTGTCGTTGCATTTGAACAGTAAGAAAGTGAGTAGGGATTATGATGATGTTTGATTTGGAGTAGTTACTAGGTAGGGTAGACATGGTATGATATATATTGAAATGCCATATTATAGTAAAAAAAAATTTATATCGTAATTTTGGTATTATAATATTTAGTATGGTATATGGAGTAATAATAATTTTAATTTTTTTTTTGTACAATATTTGATAATTAAAAATAACAGATCATATCAAAATATATAGTTACATAGATAACATATGAGTATATATTTTTAAAACACTAACGAATATGCAATATATTAGTATAAATTAAATGTTTAGATGTTAAACTCTGACTACTCTATTTTAATTGAAATGTATTTAAATATGATTAATAAACGTGTTGTTTGTACTTTCTTTTGAATATATCTATATTTCTACATATGTAATGTGTTATTATGGTATAATTGTGACATTTTTTCGAATTGTCGAAATCATAATACTTTATTATACAAATATATATTAATCAAAATTGAGTAAACTATGATTATCGATTTATCATACCTCAAAATATCAAACTATGCCGCATTAAATTAATATGATAATGATATAATAATTTTAAAAATAAAATACCAAAATTATGATACCAAAATTTCAAGTACCATACCATACCATACCAACCAATGTAGTAATTCCAGCATCCACACGCTAAGACACTGTGAAATAAACCTACTCTATCAACCACAATGATTTGGGTTCTACTTCTACCTCAGTAGTCAGTAGTACGAATTATTCAGCCTTTCCATCGATTTACTCAACTTCCAACTAGCACACATGAAAACAATCTTTTTCCTCTTTTGAGAATTACATTATTCTACTTTTATAATCATTTTTCTATTTCTATAATCATTTCTTAACTACAACTTAAAACTAATGAATCAATGCTCAAGTCTTAGCCTTTAAACTCAAAAATCATAATTTCAAAAGTGTCCTAATTCCATTCAACATGGTTAAAAATGATTTTTGGGTATAGAATGGACAAAATGCGGACAATTAAGTCATTTCATGTGAGCGGTAGGGGCATTATGGACACTTCCTATTTATTTCATTCATGTCATAATCCTTTACTTATCAACTAAAGTTAATGTTCACTCGTACACTTAGGATTCGTTTGCTACAAAGATTAATAATGCATGGATTAGTAAAAAAAAAAAGATGGTAAATAATAGTAAAATTAAATAAGTCAAACACATATATTTGTATGACTTTCTTATTATTTTTTTATATATGTGTGTGTATCAACAAACAATACATTAAATTAAGATCACAAACGTCACGTTGTGATATATTTGCTTTTCTAATAAGTAAATGTTAAACAACTCACTTTTCAAATATTGTATTGATTTGTTTTGGATTTATTTAGTAACAAATTACTCTCTCTAAATAATTTTTAAGCTAATTTATTCAAACAAATTTACTAGTACAAATATAAAACATGAAATCAAGAAAATAAACAAAATGATTTGAGGGATATTTTTGTCTTTACATAGACTTATCTCATGGTATTAAATCCTATTTATTACTAATATCTCCAAATTGAAAGTATTAGTAATACATCATATAATACCATGTAGTGTATAACTAATTTATGGATTAGTTATACATAGACCCAAATTCCTACCAAACATAGTACTAAATAATAACTTACATAATACATGAATTAATTCTCCTAATACTCTCTACCAAACGACCCCTTACTTTCTCCGTGTAATAATTATCATTACTATCAGTCATCTCAATGCATATGTGGTGTAATTAGGGCTGTTCAAAACTGATAATTTGAAGCGAAAAAAGTTATTGGTTCATCGGTGATGGGTTATTAGTTTAACGGTTTTAATTTTTTATTATCGGATTATAATTCCCCACGGTTTGAGATATTTTCTTAACGGGTTAACCAATAATCCGATAGTAAATTAATAAATTATATTTATACCATTATACATACATACATATATATATATATATATATATATATATATATATAAGTTCCTTGACTTGAGATTTAGTTTCATGTTTTTATTTCTAGCAGTCTTAAACTTTCGGTTATCCTACCATGTGTTAGTGTTGTTTTTGAGCAAGATGCAATCTATCAATTCATGTGCATCGTTTATTTGGTTTGTCATCATGTTTCTAATTGATTTTCAATTATTTATTTTGTGTCAAATCTTAACGATTAAATCGATAACTAAACCGATAAATTAATAACCGATAACGATTAATAATCGATAATCATCGATAAGTCAATATCTTAATGATTCTTAATTACAGTTTAGCATGTCTACAAATCGTTAACCGATAAGTCAAACCGAAAAATTCATAACCGAATCGAACCGACCGATACACATACGTGTAATTACTTGTTCTTATTAACTACAAAATGTCTCACTCTTTTCCTCTTTCGTATATCATATAGGGATTCCTACCTTATATCGCATGTCCGAATTTTCACC